TTCTCATTTTTGTATTTTGATTACCTAATATATACTTAACATAGTTTTTTTTATTGGTTTAATGGATACTTATTAAATTGGATTTCCAAGGTTATCCAAAACAATTTTCCAGAATCCATTTCTTTGTACTTGGTACTATGTATTTATAACTTGGATTTTAATTTTTTAATGAAGACCTAGTGTGATGGCGTATACCTTTAATCCCAGCACTTACGAGGCAGAACCAGGTGGATCTCTGTGAGTTCGAAACCATTCTATATAGTAAGTTCCACACCAGCCAGGGCTACAGAGTGAGACCCTATCTCCATAAAACCAACAACTAAAAATTACTTAATGAGGTAACTTAGTTAATGAAGTTATTTGAACTTATTTAAGTTCTTCCATACTTTTTATAAAATTAATTTAAAACATAAGATTGAATCTGGTGATGAATATTACATGTATCTGTGTAATGTATATGTATAAAATGTATTTTTACATAGTCAAGTATGTTGCATACATAGAATGAACAAGATGGATCAGGGCTAGGCAAGGCATCAATATTTCATCTTGTAAGAAAAAAGTCATATATTTTACTAGGTTGGGCTTGGTGGTGAACATCTATAGTCCTGTCACTTGGGAGGCTGAGGTAGGATTTCTGTGTATACAAAGCCAGCTTAGGTTATACAGTGGAACACTGCCTCAACCACACCAAACCAAGTACTACCCCTCCTCCACTGACATCATGTATTGATTGTGTTAATGCAAGGTACTTAACAATGTCCCACTAGGAAATTTTCATAAAAGTATGCAATGTTCAAGGATGTCTTCATTGAAAATGCAATGGTATATTATAAAGAAGTAAGAGTTAAGAAATTTGCCCTAATTTCCCATTCACTTACAATTTGCTGATGATAATGTTTTTAAATAATAATAATAATCAGTTGAAAATTCATCATTGTGTGACAGCTAATAATAGTTAATAATAGTTTGGTATTGAAAATGATTGAAATGAGTCTGGTAATGCACTTCTGTATATAGTCCCAGCTACTCAGGAATGTCACAAGTTGGAGGCCTGCTTAGGCTACAGAGTGAATTCAAACCAGCTTAGGCAACTTAATGAGACTGTGTTTCAAATGAAAAGCAAAAAAGGGGATATAAATTGTGGAATGCTTGTCTAGTATGTACATGAGCCTAAAGTTCAACCTCCAGTACCACATCTTGTACACACACAGAGCTTGATTTTCTTAAAATATTTTGGCAATATTTTCATGTTTTAGGTAAAATTTTAATCATTTATAGAATACTGAATATAACTTCATAGATATGATCTTAATTTTAAAGAATTGAGTCATGATTTTTTTTTAATCTGGTCTTGAATTAATTTTGGTATGTGGTATTTATCCAGAAAATTGTCCATTTCTTCCTGGTTTTCCATTTTTGTGGA